CCTAGAGTAGAAAACCCGAAATGTGTGAACGCGCTCGTAAAATAAGTTTGGCTCATTTTGAACCATGCGATATTCGTTTTTTTTATTTTACAACAATATAAAGGCTTAACTTTACTTCGATAAGAAATCTTTCGCCGGTTTCTTGCATGAATTATACCCGAAAAATAATTCATAACTTTTCGTTGTTTACATTTAAAGCGTTTTCAAAAGATTTCTTAATATTTCCGTCGTTCGGCATTTGTTGTTCTGTGAAAATAAATACTGTACTGGACGTTTTGTATAGGCATTTTCTGCTAATTTCACGGAAAATATTTCACATTCCCTTTTAATAAACTCCCATAAAAAAAGCGCTACACAATATTATGTGTTTATTGCCATAAATAAGTAAAAGTGGTCTTTGCAAATGCGAAATTCTAAGGAGTTGACAAACGAAAAGCACTGTATAACACCATTTGTAGTACAGTATGACGTGTACAGAGGAGAAAGAGAAAAAGAACGACGAAGCGTAAAGCAGACGGCCAATCGTACAAGTTAAGATTCGTCATAAATTAATTCAATAACAGTCATGTCGCGCTCAGACAATTTCAAACAAAACAATCGCATAAATAAAAATTATGTAAGATACTCAAATACTGTGTACCACCACAACCGTATTGTCAAAACATTATACATCAAATATCTTTGCGATACGGAATATAATACACCAATATTGTACATAAGTATGTTTATTTAACTGCACAAGGCTTAGACGTGTGTTAAAAATGTGTTTCAAGCACTCTTCCCTCGATAGGAGTACACGTGTTCGTGACTCACGTCACCTGCTCGAGGGGCCTTCAAACATAAGGAAGACGCCGGAACCTTTTACAAGTGAATGCGGAAGAAGTATTGCACTTTTCTGCGGCGCAGAATACTCGGACGTCAATGTTGTAAAATGTATTTCAACAGCGACCGAGCCATATAATTTATGCATCGAGATAGACGCTGTAATTCACTAGAAATACAAAGTTGGTTTTTTGTGTAAAAAACTTGCGAAAAAGAATATATTATTGTAGGCGGAAAGTCGCGAGAAAAGTTTCTTTTAACTATTTTTTTTTTTTTGTAAATTACTCTTTTTTTTTTTTTAATCAAAATCTAAGTATAAATCAAACGAATTTCGCACATAGTTCTTATATTAAGCGTCGTACCACTATCGTTAAAATGTGTATTCAATTCTCGACGAAACCGTTAAGAACTTTATATAGCTTTGTCGTGTTCAATAAAAGTGCAATATAATAATGGACATACCACCAGAAGCACTTTACCGTCGACTGCGAACTCTGATAAGACACAATACAACCGCTCTTGTACTTAAAAAAACACGCATGCAACTGTAGTACACTCGCCGTGTTGTATAAAGTATTTACTTTTTGCGTTGAACTTAGCTAATCAAAGAAGTGAACCAAAGTGGATGTTACGAAGAAACGAAACGACTTACCGGGTTTGCCGACATATTCGTTTGTATATTGTTCCATCTTCAATTAAGAATATTCAATTAAGATGTGTACGCCCGTGGCTGACTGTTGGAAACTTTGATTAACAATATTTCTTCAAGCACACAACTGATTGTACTTGTATAGCCATACTTGTGTGTGGAAGGAATTGTTCAAAACTTCAAAACGAAATATGTGATATTTGACAAACGTGCGCACGGATAAAATATATTGTCTCACCAACAACAACAATTATTGTAGTTCTATTGTATATATAAATATAGTTTACAATAATCAGCGTTTTAATCAACTATGTTTATCTTTTCGGTACATTATCGTTTATCTATTATTCTGCTGTATACTTTATAAGTTTACCATCCAAAATTAAAGCACACCGTGTTTTCAAAAGGATTTATTTTACCGCAGTACACAGCCCATTAAACCAAGAAGGATTATCGTCCCTAAACCCTCCCATCTGTATTACATTTTTTTAATAGCCGATGACTTTCGAAAGATCTAATCCTTAATAGTTTGTAAAAGTAGGTATTCGATAATTCCACGTGCTTACCTTACTCGGTCCATTGTTTAACTCATCGGCTAGCCTTTCTTCACTATATATTACTCGTACGCTCATGAAGATTATCGTTTTCCAAAAAAAAAACCATGTTTTTCTGGAATAAAAAAAAAAAAACGCCAGATTTTTGTTGTACTCTGTACAATAATCTTTTTTGACCTTCATAAATTGCATCGTCCGCATGACGCAAGAGCCGTGTGGGTCGTGCCGCCCAACTCGAATATCGAAATCGGACCGAGGAAATAAAATATGAATAGTCGTGGGGGGGGGGGGGTGGAGCAGAATATAACTAACCGAAATATTTTCCACTCTACACCGTCGCCGTTTACACGACCCTTTTGACCGAGGAATACAGCTGCTGCTCCTGTGTGTACACAAAAGCGCGCGTAACGGCACTGCGCGGGCATGTGTGCGGGTCGACTCGGGCGTGCAGACCTAACCGGGAACATCCAGAAAAGTTACGCTCTCCCGGCGGATGGTTATGTTTGAAAAAAAATAACGGCGCGCGACAACGACTTCGAAACGACTTTTAGCAAAGGCTTTTGCGACCGAACCATATAAATGCGTTATGGCCGCAATCAAAAACGTTATGATCAGCACTTTGAATTCGGAAAAGAATACACGACCTCCAGAAAAAAGCCGGAGGATGTGCGCGGCTGTGACGATAATGGCAATATAACGTACCGAAAAACGTTTAAAGTTGAGAAAACGATAAATCGTCACGGGTCTTGGTGCTGCAAAGGCGGCGGAGGCGGACGGCTTTTTATTATTTTATTTTCCACAACAGATCTGGGACGCGCGGAAGATGACGTTTGAATTTTGTTTCTGAGAACATATTTTATGGCTTGTAGTTTTTGTACAAAACACACTGCTGATAAATCTTCTTTTTTTAACATTCCCCCCCCCCAAAAAGTGTTTTATAAAATAATGCGTGCACGCAACTTTAAAGAAACAAGACAAGAGAAATAATATTCCACTTGAAATTGTCCCGAGAATGTCGTCCGGGTTATCGATGGATATTCACTTTTATGTGGACGGAAATAAAATATACATTTTCTAATAATTTAATTATATCCCCAATCGTTAACGTGTAATATAATAATACAACCTATATTCTCTCTCTCTCTCTCTCTCTCTCTCTATATATATATATATATAAAACAATATTGTTTACCAACTAAGTGCACGAAACGTCATCACAATGCTATAATGTCGTTTTACTGATAAAAAGAAACGCGCAGGAGACAAAAATGTTTTCTCTGTGTTTTCAAATAATCTAAGCTTCGAGTCAATCTATGTTTTTTTTTATTGAAAGCCATTCGACAATATTACGGTAATTCTATATTACTCTATATGTATTATGTACGCCTTTATAAGTTTCTTTTGGCTATAAACTTACCAAAAAAAAAAAAACCGTTTGAAACGTTATCTCTATTTGCTACGACATGAATAAAAAAACCGCAATCGTATGATGATGAAAATGCGTTCAGGTCGTAGTATCGACTGCCCCACGTTATTCCTACTATATAATAACATAATATTATGTTTACTGGTTCGTTATCAGAGCATCGTACATGATCCTCATACACAATCATCCACATAAATTCGTACGCAATACATTATTTTGGAAAAGATAATATTATACTGCTTGTATATATAGGAATAAAAAAAGCAATTTACATTGGCATTGAACCTAGAATAATTCTGTCTCGCGTGTAATCGAACATTATAATATACACAATATGTATACAATACACATAAAACCCCTATCGTGATTTTATGATGTAGAAACTAAAAATTTAACTCATTATTACGCGACAATTATCTCAGTCTATAACTCTTAAAATTATAAGATGCCTTTTATTGTCTTCAGATACCGAGTTGAAATAGTATAGACATCTTTTTGAATTCAGCTGAATACTAAGATCAAGGGATGGGCTACATTATACATTCATTCACCTCTATCTTACATCGGACAAACATTTATTTTAAAGCAAATAAATATACAATTTTGACAGTATAAATTATATTCTCTACATATTGTGTAACAGAGGTATCATTCTACAATTGATATGATCAAAAACTCGATTTTAAATTAATGGTCTATGCTCCCTCTTGATTATTTCATTTTCCCTATTAATAATGGGACAAGTATATAAATATTACTCCCAACCGGACTTATACTGAAATAAAACAAAAAACATTAAAATTCTAAATTGTTAGGACAGAAGGGGCAATGCAAAAAATACGATTATGCATTATTTACACATCTTGGGGCTACTTCCATTTGAGGAGATTGACTGATCTACAACACCCCACTCAAGCTTTATTAATGTGTTAAATAATTTTGTTTTTAGCAATTAATTGTTTACATTTTGGTAAAAAATTATGGCAAATACTTGTACGGTAAATTAAACCATTCTTTTAATTTTTTTAATTTTAAGGTTAAACGCTTAATTATACTTTCTTAGCGAAAGCAAAATACAAAAGGATTAATATGGGATCGTTTTCTTCTGTCCGAATACCTGTTTAATTTGCTTATGTAGTATTGGTAAAATAATTTTGTATATATTATTTTGTTAAAATGTTGTCACCTACACTCCAAACCGTCGATTTTCCATTTTTACCGGAAACGTCATATTTGATATAAATACAACAATAATGATAAATTGACCGTAAAGTATTAGAGAAAGTTTTTAATAATTGCGCCAACCGAAAAACAATCGGGTAAAACGTATGTAACAACTTGATAGCGGACCGCTAGGGGTGCAATCCACAAGGGTGGGTGGGAGAGGGGCTGAGGGTGAGAAAAACGAAATTTTTAAGTCACGGCCGTGCTTATGGTAAACGACACGTTCTTGACACGACGTCGACGACCTCTCGCGCCGGTTAGGTGTGCAAACGAAAAGCGTCACACGAATGTTTCTAATGTGTTTTAACAACATATTGTGTTTCAGATGGAGGGAAAACTTTAAATGATTGCGGTCATCATCTGGCAGTGATGGAGTCGGTAACAACGGCTACTGCGGCGGTATTCGCCGTAATTCTTTTATACTTCATTGCCGTAACCGGTAAGTTTGTCGCATATATTTTATCGTTGAGAGTTGACAATAGAGGTGCAAAAAAAAAAAAAATGTCGGCTGGTGTTATTATATTTTCTTTCTATTCCCGGCACTATATAGGTACCGCGCGCTGTATATTTTTACCTTATATATTATTATTGTATACAATTTTTTTTCGCAACCCAGCCGTCGGAAGGCGACGTGACAAGACGGACAAAAACAACGTGATTCGGTTGTGTACATATACATATATATATATATATATTTATTTATATTATAAAATGACATAAAAAAAAAAAATAACGCATAACCTGGATTCCGCGTTCGGTTGGAGGAACAGAAAAAATTGGATTTTTAATAAACAAAAAAATTATTTACATATTTAATATACAGCGTGATTTTTTTTTATCGCGAGCCAGTCAATATATTGCAATGGATTTAATTAATAATTTAATATTTTTTCATAGAGTTTTTTCATATAATGTGATCTCAATATTCCATACATTTTTATGCTCCTATCCCGTCCCAAAATAATTTATTTTATATCGACTTTTGAAACTTATTCGGTAACGCATACATTTCGTTAACTCGTTGAATTGAAAATAATGTACTTACAATGTCGACTGGTCGATAACCAATTTTGGATAGTTAGTTTTGGAGTTATTGAAATTTTTAAGTTTTGGCCAAGAGGAAAGGTGGAGAGTATTATTATTTTTATCTGCGTGCACTTCCCCTGTCAGTAAACATTTTTAGTAAGATATTGTTTAACTAAAAACATGTTAATATGATAATACATACGTTACCATTTAAGTTTCAAAAGTTGATATAAAAAAATTAGTTTGGGGGGGGGGGGGTCGAAAACATAAAAATTTGTAAGATCACATGGTTTAAAAACACAATATAAAAATAAAATGCAATTACTAATTAAACCCTATTGGATATTGAGAGACTCACGATAAAACAAACACCCTGTAGTAGATAATATGTTATTAAATAAAATAAATCTACATAGACGGATATTATTATATTTATGCACTTTATGCACAACCGTTGAGCGTTTGCAATCGGGCCAACACGCCACTACGTATATTTTGCTGTTTTAACAGGAAAAAAAAACTGCACAACGGTCTTCATTAAAATGGTATAATCGTCCAATTATTCCTGTACGGTTTAATTTTTAGGTCAACATCAAGTCAGTCGACTAAACGTATCAATTGTGCGCCAAACAAGCAATTTTAAGTTCAAACGTGATGACTAAAGCATTGGAATTAATGCACGACGATCAAATTTTATTCGCCGTACATAGAACCCTTGATTCCTTAATATTACCGCTTTGGCTTTATTGCAGTTTTATGTGTCGTAGAAAATTAACTTGGTCGATGGTCTAATAGAGAAATGCGTGGAAACATTAGCGAGTATAGCTTTGGTTATATTGTTTGCAAGACAAACAGCTATTATTGGCATTTCCATCAAGGTCTATTCATATAGGGACAATACTAAACGAAATACAGTCTGACTAAAATCACATTCTTCGCACCACGTGGAACTTTTATTGACATAATCAATACAGCAAAAAAAAAAAATTTAATAAAATGGCAAATGTAAATATTTTTAATAATGTTTTAAATGTTATACAAGATGTTTCAGCAATTTTATTTACCAAGTATTATGTCAAACGCGAAAAAAAAAACCAAAATTTAAAACATACTGAAAACTTGATTTTTGAAAATATTTAAATTGTTTTGCTCTATGGGGTTATCTAAACTTTATGTTACAGTTATTTTTTTCTATGGTTTAATTAAATAGGCTACAAATTGTTCAAATGAAATCTTTACTATAATTAATGACCACAAATTACACACAATATTTTGTCAAAGCATATTATTTTTAAGGATAGTTTAAAAAATGTTAAATAGCAACTAAACAATGATTGGCCGATAACTAGTTTTTTAATAATACTTAATGAGTTATTTACATTTAAAGTTTATAACAAGGAAGTGCAGATGAGTGCTGCTTGATAAAATAAACAACACTAGTCTTGCTCACCCCCCAGCCGATACCTTTCATCGCTAATAACTTAAGAAGTGTCCATTAAAAACTGGTTATCGACCAGTTATTATTTAATAAGCGTATCAAATGCGTACTATGTTGTCATTTGATTTAAAAAAAAAAAAAATTGTCAAATATATAATAACGATTTTATTTGAAACTTTTTAAATTAAAACAATTATTGTTTAAACAACACTCCACGGATAGTAATTACATTTTTCTATCTCGGATGGATATAAGATTTAAAATAATCCTCGCACGTAATAGCTATACAACTATGAGCGCATTGTTGTTGTTATTGTTTCGGTCGACTTGCCGCCGACGACGGTGGTTAACCTAAAGCTGTATTTATGTGTTTGTACGTGGCCACAATGATAATATAATAATAATATAATGTGTACTGCGGCCGACGGTCTCGTTAAGGTCCGACATCGGTGGTTTAAGTACCTCTATCGATTTTGGTATATAGGTCTGTGACAATTATTATTAGCGACCCATGAGTAATTTGGACCCGACCAAAATATGATCAGACCCCGTTTACGTCGATGCCTTTTAGCCATCCAGCCGCGTTGAAACAATAGCATAATCATATTATATACAGGGTGTCCCACAAAGGTTTAACCTTATGGTATGAAGTTGGTACCGACTACCATCGCACCATCGTCTTAAAGATGTTAAAGAGCCTTCACGTTAAGTGCTTGTGTGTGTGTGTGCGAATGCATTAGAAAATGTCCGGCCAACGGTCGACTAATGTAATATAGCTAGACAAACGCGGATGAATAATGTATGGTAATTTTATGCGCGTATGATAACTATACGGCGACGACGGTGTTTGTAATATTTTATCCATTGAGACCTCTTAAATTATGCGCTTATAACCCCGCGCACATTTTTGTATACATATATATATACAAGCGCTATGTTTACTTACTCCTCATAATGTTATACGTTAGACAAAACCCCGACGTCGTTTGGCCATTGTAAACCCGTTAACGAATGGGTATCTAGTCAAGCGTGTCGAAGAATCGTTAATTATAAATTAATTATTTCTCTACGTTGACCTAAATTGTTTTGGACGTACAATACCTCTTATGTACACAATACTTAACAGACGCATTAATTTTACACGGAAGAGCAGTTTTAATAAAACAATAATTACAAAATACAATTTTTCATTGTATACTTTTAGGTATTGTTGCACCTTTAACGCCTGTTTTGAACCGATCGCCTTTTTTTAAATAATAAATCAAATGTATAACAACACACCGTTGAACGGTCGTTTTGCCGTCTGGACTTTGTGTCCTGGTTTTACTGATTCAAATAAACTTGCATGAAATATGACAAATTAAATAAATAAAAAAAGATTGATGCAAATAAGCAACGTGACGTATTGAAGGGTTATTATAGTCTTTATTAGGTCGATTTTTTTTCCAGAACAATTATTTCTTCTGGTATGACAACATTGGGTAATCTGATTAATGGATTGATCTTAGTGTTGTTTGGTCAGAATTGTACGGTTTAGTCTTCCATTCAGTCAATCCTTTCAATATTCCCCAAAGAATCTTTTGTTAGGAGACACTATTCAGATTTGCTTATGATGGATTAATTATGGCCACTGTTATTAGAATGATACCCTATTTGTGCATTAGGTATACTATTGTATTTTCATTGGTTGATTCAAGTCATTCTATTTAATGAGTTCTCTGTAAAGCACGTAGCAGATGATAAGTATATTTACCCAGAAAAGAAAACTTTACCAATCAACTGAATCATGGACGTCAAAGTATAGGCATATAAGTGTGTTTGGTTTTAATTGATTCTCTAGGCTGAAATCCTTATTATATAATTTAATAACCGTAATAATAATTGTAGTTTTTTGTTTTTTTATTTTCTAATCAGGAAAGTAATCATGAAGCTAAATATGTTTTACACACTGGTAATCAGTTAATAATAGTTTGTTATTGAGTTTGATCTATATAATATGATTGTTCAATGCGATAACGTTTCACAATATATATATTATATTTATATGTTTTTATTAGGTTGTAAACAAAAGTATAAATAATATTAATAGTGTTCTGGGTCTGCTAACACCGAAAAAGAGCGAGGAATTATTTACCGTTGTTTATCTATACACGAACACCATTTAGCGGTAGACGGCCACGGTCCAAAGACAATTATTTGTTATAAAATGGCTTTGTTTCGACCACCCCGTGTGATTTAGTAACATGTCGGTTGTAGTTACTATTAAAAGCAGCTAGCTACCGAGTCCCTTTTCCGCAACGCCCGGGTGATAAGTTAAACCAATGTGCGGTTACTATCAGACAAAATAATCACCAACATTAAAGTCTGCAGTACAAAAGTGGGAAAAAGTTAGTGTTAGGTTGCAATTAACAAGCTGTTATACCAGCTATTATTGTCTACGCACGGTGTGGATAATAAATGTGTAGAAATGACACACTATGATGTTTATATTACATTTACAGTAATATACGAAATCAACATAATATGATGTATTCTTTTCTCTTTGTGTATAGTTAAAAAATATATTAAATGGAACGGTTATTGTCAATATAATTTTCGCAACGAGAATTTAACCAAACTTTTTTTAAGGAACTTTCAAAACGTGTATTGCTCTAAAGGTGATCGTTGACAAATTATCATTTGTAACTTATCTTTACAAAAAAAAACACCTTTAAATATATTTGATTAAACTTGCTTAATTAAAATAATCAAGTACAATTCGTATTGGACTCGTGAAATAAATAATGTTGCACAAACTTAATAAAATTTGACTCATTAAAAAAACCAATAACAATTAAAAACAAACGTAATCGAGCAGATTTGCATTAAAGCGTCATCGTGACAAATCGCGTTAACACTTGACATTTTACAGAAATAATAAAAAGCCCAAGTATTTTCTGTAAAGAACTCTTATAGATCAAAACGAATTTCTTGGT